TCTCTTTCTCTCTCTCTCTCTCTATGTTGCTACAGCCTCGCCCCTCCTTGACTCCTCCACCCTCTGAGGGGATCTTTGCATTGACCTCTTCTTTCCTCACCCCTCTCTGGCAGATGAGCGCATCCGCAAGCGCCGTGCGCGTGCCGGCGGCAACCGCCGAATCAACTACAGCGAGGGCTGGGTCGAGTTCCTGGATAAGTCCCGGGCCCGCTTCGCGGCTGACCTTCTCAACAACAACCAGATCGGCGGCAACAAGCGCAGCAAGTTCTATGCTGACATCTGGAACATCAAGTACCTGCCCAAGTTCAAGTGGCACCACCTCACCGAGCAGCTTGGTATGTTTGCCCTCTGCCGCCCGCCCCCCGCCGCTCCCCTTCTCGGTGGCTCTTGTCCTTCGCATCTTCGTCACCATATTTCCTGGCTTGGCATGCGCCTCCCAGGCACATTTCGTTTCTTTTTCTCTCTCTCTCTCTCCTCTCTCTCTGACATCTTCGCGCTGCTTTCCACTTTTCCCTCGCCCACGATAGCCTATGAGAAGGCTGCTCGGGAGCGCCAGCTCCAGGCCGAGATGAGTCAGGCCAAGCGCCAGGTGGATCACTACCTGAAGAATGTGGACCGCGCGCGGGCCAAGGAGCGCGCGGCACAGGCGGCTGCCAGCAAAGATGGCGGCTCAGCAAGCGCCGCCCCGGCGGCCAAGCTTTCCTTCGCCGATATGAAGTCGCGCTTCCGCCAGCGGAAAGTCGTTTCCGATGTCTGGACCACCCCGAGCGCTGCCAAGCAGGCGGATTAGTGTGGCTGGGCAGCTTGCTCACTCCTGTATGCACGTGCCGTGTCCGTTGTCCTTGTTTTTTTTTCCACGCACACGGTTGCATGTCCAAATGTACCCTAGAGATAGATAGCTTGATAGCGGCGCAGAGAGAGGCAGAGAGGCAGATAAGGAGGGGAGAGGAGAGGAGGGGAGGGAGAGCGAAGTGTCTTCGTCCGTTTTTTCTCGTGAAGAGCAAAGCCGCGCCCCAGGGCAAGGACAAGGGCAGGGAGCTGGCGGGGCGGGGCGGGGCAAGGAGCGGGGCCTTTGGGATAGAGTGGACACCGCGCTCGGAAGGAGGAGAGCGCCAGGCCGGGGGTGCACTGGGCGTGGGGAGACGCCGGCTGGTCCGGACCGATCTGACTGGACAGAACCGGTGTGCAGATCACGTCCTCCCGCGGGGCGGGTTATCTGGGCTCGTCGAATTTAGGACGAAGCGATGCTTTTCACGCCCGGGGTGCCCCTCATTGGGGGGCCGACGCTGGAGCGCCCGGCTGGACTTACTGGCACGCAAGTACCCAGGCGTCCATACGAACGAGGTGGGCCGGGGGGGGGGGGGGATGCTGCAGGCGCGTCTCCCGGTCTGCGCCCGGGACAGCAAGCCGTCGCCGGGGGCGGGGGGGCGCGGGGGCCAGGATGCGGGCTAGAGCGAACACGCGTGTACATCCTGGATGGCCCCCACAGGGCGGTGGTTGGGGGGTAGCCCGTGCCGCGTGTGCACGAAACCCAGCTCTGCGTGTGTGCCCTGCTGGGTGGTGGTGGCCTGTTGGTTCGCCCCCGCCATCCCCTTCCGGAGGAGGTCACTGCTTAAAGTTCGTGGGGGAAGATCTCCGCCCCGGCCGCCGCCGGGCTGGGCTGGGTGTGCGTCCACGGTGTCTGTTTCGTTTGTTATGCCGACCGGTGGGCAGTTCGGCTGCGGCGGGGTCTGTGGTCCTCTTAATGGACCCGACCACGCTGAGAGTGTGCTACCGTGGCTGCTTGTAGCGTCTTGAGGTGCGCGCGGCTGCCTTTCCTCGGCCCCCCCCCTCTCCCCCACGTGCTGCTGGCGAGACGCCTGGACGTGTTGGTCCTTCGTGCTTTTATTTTTCAACCGGCGTCCTGTTCCGTCCCCGTCTGTGATTGTTGGCCCTCCCTTCGAGAGCTCTAGCCCTTGGCCACCTCTTGTTGCTGTCCCCACCACCACCTCCCCCCCC